AATTAAAATGGACCCAATATATACTATTTTTGTTGTCTGAATTTATGTGACACAAATGAAATTTGGAGAGTCATCCAAATTTTCATTTAAAAAAAAATGTTTTAAGTTATTAATTATTGTGATTTATAATATTTTTATATAACTTTCAAATAACCTACATTACTGGTCACTCTGTCCTAATTTATGTGATATGGATAAAATTACAAAATTAACTCTTTTAAAATGTCTTTCAAATATTTTAAGTTGTTAATTATTATTATTTATAATACTTTTTTGGTAATTTTAAAATCATATATGTTATTTTTTCTGTCCCAATTTATGTGACCCTGATAGAATTCTGAGAGTCAACCTATTTTATTATATATCTTTTAAATATTTTAAGTAATTTGTAAATGATTTATTAAGATAATTTTTAAGTCATTTGTAAATAGTAGAATGTCCATCATAAACTCCTTTTTATTAAATAGTAGAATAGAAAACGATAGATTAATTTCAAGAATCAATCAAATTTTTTTATATGTATTTATTTTTGAAATATTTTATGTTGTCAATTATCATGATTTATAATATTTTTACGATAGATTAACTTGAAGAATCAGTGAAACTTTTTGTATCTTTTTCAAAACATATTTTATGTTGTCAATTATCATGATTTATGACAATAAATTAAAATGGACCCAATATATGTTATTTTTGTTGTCTGAATTTATGTGACAAATGAAATTTGGAGAGTCATCCAAATTTTCATTTTTAAAAAAAAAATGTTTTAAGTTATTAATTATTGTGATTTATAATATTTTTATGTAACTTTCAAATAACCTACATTATTGGTCACTTTGTCACAATTTATGTGATATGAATAAAATTACAAAATTAACCCTTTTAAAATGTCTTTCAGATATTTTAAGTTGTTAATTATTATTATTTATAATACTTTTTTGGTAATTTTAAAATGGTATATGTTATTTTTTCTGTTCCGATATATGTGATCCTGATAGAATTCTGAGAGTCAACCTATTTTATTATATATCTTTTAAATATTTTAAGTAATTTGTAAATGATTTATTAAGATAATTTTTAAGTCATTTGTAAATAGTAGAATTTCCCATCATAAACTCCCTTTTATTATATAGTATAAAGTATAATAATAAAGTAGAAAGTAGAAAGTAAAAAGATAGAAAATAATAAGAGAAATTAAAAATCTAGTAATTCCACATGTCAAGTTAATGGGTAGCCTCAACTCCCACTTATATAATAAGAGAATGCATTTAAAATATTTTTCCTTGTAATATTTATGATTTTAACAAATTATTAATTGCTAAATTAATTAATTAATTACTCATATATCATGTTAAATTTATGTGTCAAGTCTATATTTGAGGATAAGAAGTATACTAGTGCATTTTAATTTGATGATCTACGGAAAAATTATTTGTAAAATCTTCTTCTTTTATTTGTTTAGTATTTGACTCGACATATTTCTTAAAAAAATAAAATAGAAAGATAATTTTATTATATTATTCTTTGAATATGATAAATTCAATTCCTGGGAAATGCATTAGAAAATAACTAAAATTATTAAATAATATGGATAAATTAAAACTAAGTAATAAATCATTTGTTGATTTTGTTTAACATAAATAATTATAGACATTTATTTTAGTACAGTAAATAGATAAAAAATAAACGGAGAGGATAAAAAGTAATCCAATTAGTGACAACTTTTTGGCAAAACAAAAGGGCTAGGGAATCTTGCTCTAAAATAACGTTCCGTGACTCATTCACCTCAATAATCTTTTATTCAACACTTTATATATTAACAAAGCTATAAAATATTTTAAAGTAAATTTAATTATTACCTTATTATAATATTAATTTGAAATTGATGTTGAAACTTATAAATTTTAAATCTTAGTTTTATCTTTGCCTATTCAATTTTTGGATTTTTGAAGACGTTAAGTAATAATACTAAGTTTTCTTAGTTGCTTAGTCCGATCAACCACTAGTATCTTTTTCTTACTTTACTCCCTAATCATTCACCATCCACTAACTTTTGAACTACAGGAACTTTGTCCCCATTGTTAACTATTAAAAGAAATTATTTGGCAACTTACCAATTGTTAAAGTGTGTGATCATCTCATCTAAAAGCTTAAGCTATTAGAGAGTGTACATTTTTTTTTATTTAATTATATTCTCAACACGCCCCCTCACGTGCAGGCCTGATTTTTTTTTTTATGGTCCAAATACGTGAAAATTCTTTTTAATTTGGATGGCGGTGAAATTCGATCTCAGAACCTCTGTTTGCTCTGATACCATGTTGAAGTGTGTGATCATCTCATCTAAAAGCTCACACACTTCAACAACAATATATATAAATGTTATGGGAATCCTTTTTTTTCTCCTGTTTAACAATTTAGAAGATCAAATACTTTAAGGGATTATTTAGTTGGAGAGATGAGATCTATCTTCTGAATTGAGACATTTTATGAGATTAGTTATTCTATTATATATATATAGGAAATAACATACCCTATCATTATAATATAAATCCCAAAATAAATAATAGTGGAACTAATTAATATTTCTAATTAAATAAAAAATAAAATAATTCTATATTTTATCTCAAGATTATTATCCCCTATATTCCATACCAAACGACCCCTATGAGAATAGGGCTTCTCCAAAATCTATAAATACATAAGAAATACAGTTATAATTTTTAAAGTATTTATAAAGTCAATGCACATAAATATCCCTAGGTTTTTATTTGCAAACATGATAACAAGTTCTTAAATATGACCTATTATTTTATCGAACAAATTTAAATCGAAATGTGAACTTATTTCCCCCCTAGATCTTCTCAACCATCTTATAGGAATACACTCTAAGGAGGTAAAATTCATTCAAAAAGAGAGTGGAAGGTATAAATGGTATAGGTGCTTGTGATTAAGAGCGGGGCATGATAAAGTATGGTACAGTAATAAAATTTCGATTCAATAATTTTGATTTTTTGATTTAAAAAAAAATACTATATATGTATTTGTCCTTCTAATATCAAATTAATTTGGTATGGTTTGATATTTTAAAGTTTACTAGAAAACTATTAGGCTTTTCAAAAAACGTCTTCATAATATCATACTAACCGTAGCTACACATATAAATTTGTTGAAGAGAAAGTTTCCCTTGGTTAAATTCAAATCCACAAGTCTGAAGTTCACTGTTAGTAGTTGTGCTAGGAATTTTTGTCCAAATTTCATTTACTTATTATAAAGTTATTAAACTTCAATAGTTAGGCTTTAAACTGTGTCCTTAAAAGCAGATATTTGTGGGAAAATCTAATAAGCCTTATATTTAATCCTTAAAACTCTACTTTAGAAGAATTGCCTAATAAAGCTACATTATTATTTTAAATTAATAGCAAATTTATACTGTTAAACTCAATGACCTATTTTATGCATAATTAGAAATTTTCTCATATTTGTGCCATCCACAATGTGCCGAGCCCAGAAAACTCTCTTTTCTCAAAGCCCAATTTATATTAAAACGTTAGATAAAAGTGTTACTTGATGTCAACTGTCAAGCTCATTGCTTCTGGCCCAGAAAAATGCCAAGAAAGGAATAGCTGGAGTCGTTTGGTTTGAATTCAAATTATGATGAGATTAGTTATGATGTGATAAGTTATGATGGTATTAGTTATGATGGGATAAGTTATGCTAAAATTATTTTTTATTGAGTGTTTGGTTTGTTGTATTCAAAATAATAAATCTTAAGAACAACATATAAGTTTACAAACATACCCTTCATGGATGTGAAAAGTAATGTATAAAAAGTGTTTAAAGGGATATTTTTGTCATTTAGTCATTTTATCCCGGGATTACTATACCACCCATGGGAAGGGATAACTTATCCCGGTACTAATTATTAATCCTGGGATAACTTATCCCGGACTTGCCAACCAAACAACAAATTAAGTGGCACTATAATTTAATCCCAGGACTATTTTAAGTTATCCTTCACACCAAACGACCATAATTTACACAAATATCAGTGTTAAGAGTTATTACATTGTTTCCCTATTTTTTTCCAAATTACAAAAATCCTTTAAAATTTATGAATTTCGGATACATCACTGGACTTATGGATACATTAGCAGACATCTGGATACATAGATGAAAGATGTATCAGAGAGGGGATAGGACTTCCAAATACATCAACAGACATTCAAATATATATGTGAGAGATGTATCCGAAAGGGGGACAAGGATGTATCAACGAGAGGAAAGTGATGTATTCGAGGGGGATTTTTGAAAAAAAATAAATTAAATGGTAGGGAATTTTAGAGATTATGGTAAACTAAGATGTGTATTTAGGTAATTTTTTCTAATTAAAACCTTCTCTCTTTTTTTTTAACTTTAAGAAATGGAAAACTTACATGAATGTACTCTTTGATTATCTAGTTTATCAACATGATCGAATTATATACTCTCTATATACTTTGATGGTATATGTTGTTATATATATGCATATTATATGTATAGTACATGTATATTATATGTATATTTAGTATAAAATATACACTACATTATGCACATATTATATCGTATTGTTTTGTAATATACTATATTTTTTTGATGAATATAACATTTTTAGATAGATTGTGTCATTTTCCATCGTTATATAATGTCATACATCATCAATTTGAAGGATAAACCTATATGAAAAGTAGAGTATGATGTAGAACTATTGTAAGAATGTACCATATATGATAAGTAAAAACAAAATAATGAAAAATATAAGATAACGACGCGATCACACCAAATCTGTCATTAGACAAAACACGACTTTTCGTCATTACCTAACAATGGATTTAACCATACGATACAATATAATATAAGTATTAATCAAAACAAACATCATATTTAAACTAACAACACAACACAATACAGTACCTACAATAGGTAACAACCATCCAAACAAGGTGTGAGTGACAAACCAATAACTAGGAGGTGTTTGAAGTTGCAACAGCAAACAGAGGAACTTTCCTATGAATAGTTAAGCCAGTGCATTCTGTCATATCTAAATCATCCCCCTTTGCTCCATTTGGCAATTTCCAATCAAATTCCCTCACAACATTTGCTAGTACAAGCTCATTAGTAGCCATTGCAAATGAAATTCCAGGACATCCTCTTCTTCCTGCACCAAAAGGTATCAATCCAAAATCATGTCCTTTAAAATCAATAGAAGAATTCAAGAATCTCTCCGGCTTAAACTCCTCTGCATCATCCCAAATTTCAGGATCCCTTCCAATCGCCCATCCATTCGTTATAACCATTGTACCAGCAGCAACATCGTACCCCATCACCTTAACATCTTGTCTAGCTTGTCGAGGAACTAACAGAGGAATTGGAGGATGTAATCGCAATGTTTCCTTAATTACTGCTTTTAAATAATGCATTTTGTCCAAGTCATCCTCAGATAAAGTTTCATTTTTCGCTTTAGTTATTTCCCTGGCTTCGTTTTGGAGTTTGTTCATTGCTCCAGGATGCCTTAGAAGCTCTGTCATGGCCCATTCTAACACAGTGTAAGTTGTATCTGTTCCACCCGCAAATATGTCCTAGCAGATATATATTTATATAAGTATCATGAAAGTCACTAAATTATTTGTCGTAAACAAAAAGTCCTGAACTTTACCTAAGTATCAAATCGAGCTATAAGTGATGTGATTTATCACCAAAAATACCACCTTGGTGATAAATGACATCATTTCTATCATGATCATGGGAAATCTTCTCAGATCATATGAAAACAAGTATTATTATACTATATATTGTTGAAAAAATCGTGTGGGTGTGAAGGAGTATAGAATTAAAATATAGGAGTAGTGGATACCATAGGAATATTCATTGAAAAATATGCTACCATGTGTTTCGTCAAAAATATTTATAATAGTTAGAGAGGGTCAGAATTGAAGAAGTTTCTTTCCTCATTCTATTATAAAATGGTGATATTTGCTGTCATCGTATCTCTATTACTAATATATTAATCTTCCTACCCCTAATCATTCCTTAGTACGTTGAAGGAGTTAAAACTAATGTTATTCGTACAACATATCTGTGCAATCTCACTAGTAGGGTCTGGATTTGATGCTATTCGTATGAGAAAAGAACTAAAGCAAAATGCTAACTAGCTGATGCAACCATGAAATATATATCTCATGTGCAACTTCTTTAATTATGTTCCTACTTTGCACTCTATTTTAGCTATGATATTGGTACATAATTTAACTAGCTACAAAGCAAATTATAAGGCTATATCTTTGTAAAGCATTAATCCATCTTTCATTTAGTCTAGTATGTTAGTGACATAATTTAAGTAAATAGAAAGTGCACTCTATAACAACCATTCAAATCAATTTCCACGTAATACATGTTGATGATATAATTTAGGCATAATACATAAGCATGACTCTTATCTTGACTTCAATGGACAACTATGTCCTCCAACTTTGAGTGTGTACAAGTAGACACTTAAACTTGTATAAAATTGAACAAGTAGACACACTTGTCCTACATGGCATAATACACATAGGACGCCACGTAGGACACAAAATTATCGTGTAGGGTGCCATGTAGGACGAATGCGTCCAATTGCTCAATTTTATACAAGTTTAAAAGCCTACGTGTGCACATCCAAAGTTAAAGCTCATAGTTGTCAGCTGATGTCGATCAAGTTAAGAGTCATGTTTATGTATTATGCCTATAATTTAAGTAGAGAAAAGTGTATTTCTAACCGTTTGATTAGTTTTAGGGTTTTAAGATGTGTTGATTACACAATTCAACAGAGTCAATATCAGCCATGAATCATCATAGAATGCGCGCACAAAGAGAGGAGGAGAGAGAGAACCTACCAAAATGAGAGCTTTGATGCCATCTCTGTCAATAGAAAAGCCATCCACCATGTTTTGTTTGTAAATCCCAAGCAAAACATCAACAAAGTCCTCTCTATTATCATTTTCCACTTTGTCCCCCAACAATTCCTTCACTCTTTTATGACTATCTAAATGTTCTTCCACTACACCTTCAAGAAATTCATCCATCTCCTTAGCAACTCTATCCACTTTTGCTTCTAAACCACTCACTCTATCAATCCATGCAAGTGAGGGTAAAAAAGTCCCAAAATCAAATCCACCTAATATTCCCACAAATTCCTTCATCAATTTCCTAAACTTCTCTCCACTCTCCCCTCCACTATATTTCCTCCCAAAAGCTGCTCTACTCACAATATCATTTGTAAGTGTCATAAAAAATTCACTCAAATCCACTGCCTCTGGTGACTTCTCCTTAATTTTCTTGACTAACAAGGCAGTCTCTTCTTCCCTCACAACGCGAAAACCTTGAACCCTTTTTGTACTAAGCAATTGTAGTACACATATACTTCGCATTTGTCTCCAGTACTCACCATAAGGCGCGACAGACACATCCTTAAAGTCGTACAAAAGTTTTTTGTTGACATTGGATTTAGGCCTGTCGCAAAAAACAAGGTCATGTGTTTTCATGATCTCGGAAGCTGCTTCAGCTGAGGAAACAACAAGAGTATTTACGCTCCCGAGTTTAAGGAACATCAAAGGTCCATATTGTTGAGCTAATTTGTGTAAAGAGTGGTGAGGATACACACCTAGTTTGTGCATATGACCAATTAATGGTAGTTTTAGAGGGGAAGGGGGGAGATTTTTTTTGGTTTTAGATTTAGTCATGAGGAGACTCATAACAACAAAGGAAATAAGTAGTGAAAGGGCTAAAACATAAGACAAATAGGTACAATTTTCTAGCCATTGTAAAGAGGTGAGCATATTCTCTATGTGTTTGGTTTCAAAATGGAGAACAAAAGGATGTTAGGGGAATTGAGATTGAAGTTTTAACACAAATTTGAATTTCTGAAGAAGAATATATATAGTGTATATTAAATTGGAAATTTTAACTTTTTGTAGACACAGTCAAGTGCATGATTTTGTGTTTTTTCATTTTAAAACAACATCCTATGTTTCATTTTTCAATTTATTTTTTCCCGGTTTGCACCTTCCTCCTCTCTTTCCACCTTAATCGTGGGTTGGTTAGCTTAATTTCTTTAATTAAAAACATATACAAACAAATTTATATGACATAGCACATCTTCAGTGCACATGATAGGTTTATTTTGGTGGCCTTAAGTCAAAAATAAATTGAAGTTCTTAAATTTTTTAATAATAATTAATATTTTTTTATTTAAACTTTAAAGTATATTCTTCTAAATGGTTTTAAGATGCAAAGTTGAAACTGTAATATAGTTCTTAAAAGATTATTTTGAGATGCAAAGTTGAATCTTTGTTTTTATATGAAAAAAATGGACTTTCCCCGTTTCAATTTGTTAATTTACTTTGACTTGACACAAAGTTTAAAATTTAATTAAAAAAAAAGATTTTAAATTGTAGTATTAAACTAAACGGTCAATATAATTTTTATTTTATTTTTATAAATATTTATAATATTTTAATATTACTAAAAAAATTAAGCCTCTCAAATTTTGAGGCACAAAACAAGTGCTTACTTTTACATGAATAGAGCCTCCCCTGGGATTTACGTATAGGTAGGCTTTTGAAATGTTATTTGTGAATAATGAAATAATATTTGCAAATCAATGTTTGTTTTAACTTTCGTGGGTCCAACAATAATGATTAAACTTCTATTATCCTAGTTGATACGTAACTAAAAACGTCAGATATTTTAAGGAGAAAATGATCTATTCTTGTTTTTCAATGATATATAGACATTATTCAAGTATTCTATAGTTTTCAAGAAGATTTTTCTTGTCATATTACGTATTACATAACAACTTTGAAATAAATTAATATCTGAAAGAAGGAACCAGACTAATTCAAATTGATAATACGCATATCGATAAGGGTGGTTAGCACTTGGCAGTGAGAGACTTTAATAATATGGACATGAATTACATAATAATTGAGAAACTTTGTTTGCAAGGTTAAACAACTAATTAAAGCTTCTTCAGAAAATTTCTTTTGTTGAGATCGTCTACCAAGTCAAGTCGATGATTTATCAAAAATAGATCAAAAGAGAAATTAAACATTATATGTACAAGCTGGTCCTTGAAATTAGGCGGTAAACTACAAGTTTTACGAAAGTGAAACTCATTTTAGATTGTTTGCTGCCTTTTGCCTTTTTTGCGTTGAGCTTTACGTTAATTAAGAGGAGTGAAAATGTTTCTCAATCATATTATAATTAATTAAGGGTTAGTTTGGCAGGTATACTTTGGAGGGCATGATGACTGACGAGTTTAACTAAGTAAATCAAAATCTTCCACATAGTACTCCATTCAAAAGAGATTAGTGGTCGTTTGGTGGCTAATTAGAGTCGTGCAACTAAATCAATTGAATGTTTTTTCCATTTAATTTTGCTGATATGAAAATTTTATTTCAAGCCAGTTATAAGAAATAAATAGCTGCCCATTTTAATCATTTTATTAATCCGAGCTAAAACTATACGTACCAAATATATATTCTTTTGTTTTACCCTCCACCTCTCTTAAAAAAAATTCGTTTTAATATTCATCCCTTGTTTGTATGCGTAATTTTATAAAGACTTCTTAGTAGAGGCCAAAAGGTTGGTTTCTAATAATAATAAACAAATATACAATCGTCAATTTTATAAGCAGTATTTTTTTTGATGAGACAGAACGTGGGTTATTGGTCAAGAAATTATAAAGATTTATTGACGATTGTATATTTGTTTATTATTATTAGAAACCAACCTTTTGGCCTCTACTAAGAAGTCTTTGTGACTATGTTGTCGTCTTAAACTCTTGGACAAAAAATTTATATACAGAAACAGAGAAATTTCATGTCAGTACATACATGTCAAGACAAAATAACCTAGTAGACAAACTAATAAATTAATATCAATGGTAGCAGTTAGGAAATGTAGGGTATTCCTCGACCATTTCTTCAGATAATTCTGAAGTTAATTAACACAATTAGCTATTTAATATTTTTTGTAATCTTGTGTTTCTTTTGTTTTGAAGTGCACTCTTACAAAGATGTATACAGTATACTAGGGTGTACATGAACAAGTTGGTTCAAGTTTTTAAATATCAAAACAAACTATTTGTGGCAAATTTTTAAATTTATTAAACAAACTAATGAAACTCGGGTTTTTAAAATGCACTCTTACGTGGACGCTTGTTTTAGCCCTGTTTGAGAAAATTAAGTAATGAGTTTTCAATATTTCGAAGGCTGCATCAGCTGAGGACACAACGAGCGCTGGAATTTTGCCTAGTTGAAGAAGCATTAAGGGACCATGTTTTTTTGGACAGCATTTGGAGGGAGCGATGCGGGGGCTTGCCTAATTGATGGAGATTTCCAATTTCTCGAAATTTCGATGGAGAAGGAGGTAAGTTTTTAAGAGGTTTAGAGATACATTTGAGGAAGGAATATCATTTTTTAAAACTTAATTTTGTCAATAGGGCAACATCTAGGTGTTGTTAGAATCCCCGACCAACTTATAGAATGAGTTTAAGTTATATACACTGCCACATAACATCTGCTAGTTGAATTATTGATCCCACTGTAGTCTGTAGACGCTAACTTGCAAGTTTGCCCCATCAACATTTATTTATCTATTTTTTGGGTAAAAGTAATATAATTGAGATCTGTCATGTATTTTCTTGATTAACGTGGTGTATTCCTTGACCATTTCTTCAGATAATCTTGTAGCTAATTACGCAATAGTGCTTTGCTTCTTTTTTGTCCAAATCCTGATTTCGATTTGCTTCTCCTAATCGTCAAGCCTGATTAACTCAACTCTTTTACCTGCCCTGCATATTGTTATCTCCTGTATTCAGGTTAGTCAAATATACAGAAACAAAAAAAAAAGATGAAATAGACAAAATGTTTTTAATCTGAGTCCACAGAAATCACTGTGTTTCCTTAAGAAATTTAATCTCCTCACTGTACCCGAGGTTGCAGATTAATTCCTCCCAAGATAAAACGGATTTAACTTGTTAGAGAAGTAGCGGTACCTCAAACTTCAATAACTTCAGCTAACGCAAGAACAACAACAAGAGCACACACAGACTCAGTTGATCGACAATTTTGTTTATGTAAGAAAATGTATGCAGAGAGGAAAAATTTTCAGTGTTTGAAAAACGGAAAAAGACCTCTTATTTATAGCCATTTACAACAAGGAACACGTCAGTTCAGACCCGTTTTTTCCAGAACTTTGTGTCTTTTGGGAAACGTAACATCTTTTCGGAAGGAACAGGTCCCTTCAGAACGTTTTTACCGTTACACGTGAATTTTAAATAAAACATTGCGCCAAATTAATTATGTTATTTAACTAACATTCTGAATTAATTTATAAGAGAAGGAAATGAATTAACAAGATTGATTAAATAAATTTTGTCCAAAAATATCAATCAATCACATCCAAATCCGAAGTAGAGCGACGACGGCGCGAGGGCACCTTCTTCTTAAACCTTTAAGAACTAAAGGAAGTGTTTCCTAATATAAGGACAACAATTTCCTTTCTTCTACCAATATGGTAAAAATGATTTTTCATTTGTACTTTGCAATAACTTTTCATTTTCCCTCCAAAATTGGTTCCCCACTTTCCATTTTCTTCTTTTATTTCTCATTCATACCTTGCTAAACCCAACACATACTTGATTTACTTCTAATTCAAGAGTTATAGGTGCATCCTCATTTCCATTTCCCCCTTCGCCCTCTGCCTCTTCGAGTAGTCATTCACTTCTTCAGTCTTGCTGCTCTTCTTCCTCTATATAGCGTGGGTTGTACATACCAGGCCCCGAAGGATGGGCATTCCTTTATATCGGGAGGAGGAGAAGATAAGGCAGCTATTTTGCGATTCTTGCTAGTTTTTCTTTTCTTGTCATGTTATCATAATTAACTTGTGAAATGTTTATGTTATTTAATTTTGTGGCAGAGGACTTGGGGTGCATTCTCACGCAGTATAATGGATGATAAAAAAACGTCAAAATTTGATAACAAAGTAGTCATGATATAGTCAATGTCCTACTTCAATTGGACAAGGGCAAAAAATCAAATTCGGATAAATTTAATAACTAATGTAATATAGTACTGATTAACATGGCGCAAAATTAAAAAGAAATTAAGTGAAACAATTAAAGGTAAATGAAAAACAAAAGTGTTCCGACATTTATTTATGGCTTTGGATACAACAGTAAGAAATGGATATGGAAAGAAAACTGATCCTAATTAATCAGAACATGGAGTGGCAATTGCTAGCAAAGGTGATTTCCTACGAATAGTGATGCCAGTGCATTCAGTCATGTCCAATTCTTCTTCTTTTGGTAATGCTAAATTGAACTTGTGCACAATCCTTGCTAATGCTAGCTCATTCACCATAATAGCAAAAGTACTTCCTGGACAGCCTCTCCTGCCACCTCCAAACGGAATCAACTCAAAGTTTAGTCCTTTGACATCAATATCACTATTCAAGAACCTCTCTGGTCGGAATTCCTCTGGATTTTCCCACAACAACGGGTCTCTTCCAATTGACCAAGCATTGATAATCACTTGAGTTTTAGCAGGTATGTGATAGCCTAGTAATTTTACATCTTTAATTGATTCTCGGGGAATTAATAGTGGAATCGGTGGATGAAGCCTAAGACTCTCCTTGATCGCTGCTTTCAGATAGTGCATATTTCCCAAGTCATCCTCTTTTATCTCCGCTTTCCCTTGGACTAATCCCCTCACTTCATTTTGTAATGTTTCCATCGCTCTTGGATGCCTCAAAAGCTCTGTCATTGTCCATTCTAGAGCTGTATGTGTTGTGTCCGTACCAGCAGCAAATGAATCCTACGTATTAAAAGGGAAACACAATTAATAATATTAAGAAAAAGGTTAAGCTGAGCTTGCAAGTATACCTCTTTTGCACATATTGCCATGATGCTTACCACGAAGAGAGCCTTCAATGAATCCCTTTGAAGAATAAATCCAGTTTCCTTTCCATTCTGAATTTCCAACAAAACGTCCACAAAGTCTTTAGCTTCATCCGCGTGGTATTCTCCTTTTGTGTTCCTAATAATGTGTTCTTCAAACACACTCTCCAAAAATATATCCAACTCTTTCGCCACTTTGTCCACTTTAGTGTCAAGACCAGTGATTCTATTGACCCATTCAAGCCATGGAATATAATCCCCAATGTTAAGAGTACCTAAAAGTGAAAGAAGTTTTTCTATGATTGCCTTAGCATTCATCCCACTTTTATTCACTTCATCATATTTCCTCCCTAATGCCACTCTGCTAATTATGTTATTAGTCATACAACTGAAAACATCTCTCAAATCTATCACTGAATTCGAAGAATCACATCCTTGCTTGATTTTTTCAATCATATTCGATGTCTCTTCTTCTCTGATATCACTATAAGATCGAACTCTTTTGTTGCTGAGAAGGTGAAGTACAGTGACACTTCTAACTTGTCTCCAATATTCACCATAAGGACTAAAAGCCACATCCTTAGAGCCATAAAGGAGTTTATCTGCCATTCTAGAGTTAGGCCTGCTTGAGAATACGAGATCGTGAGTTTTCATGATATCACGAGAAGCTTCAGCAGAAGAAGCAACAAACACTGGCTTACTGCCCAAGTGAAGTAGCATGACTGGACCATATTTTTTGGATAACTTATGGAGAGAACGGTGAGGATGCAGACCGAGTTGATGCAAATTCCCTATAATGGGAAGCTTTCTCGGAGATGGTGGTAACTTTTTTGAAGTGTTGAAATTAGTAAAAAGCCATTTATGAAGAAAGAAAATGAAAACAAACAGAGGAAGTAAAAGAAAATAGCAGGGGAGATCCATTTTTGTTTTTGTTGTAGCTAGCGAGGAGTACCGAGATACAAAAAAATCTAAATTCGGGGCTTTAAGTTAGTATAATAACTACTCCCTCTGTCCCTAATTACTTGTCTAATTTCGAATTGACACACCTATTAAGAAAACAATAATTGATATAGTGAGTTTATCATTTTACCTCTATTAATTATGAAGTTGATGAATTAAAAACTTAAGATTTTCAAGAAGTTCTATCTTTTTCAAAATAATTAATTGAGGGTATAGTAAATAAAAAAAAAAAATCTTTTTTTGATTTGTCAAAATTGACAAGTAATTAGGGATAACTAAAAAATGAAATGTAGACAAGTAATTAGGGATAGAGGGAGTACTAGTCTTATTATAATCAACCGCAGACTATAACTTGCAAGTTTTCTCCATGAATACTTCTTTTTTATTTATTTTTTTAAAAAATAATATAATTATAATTTGCCTAGATCTATTTTAAAATGACGAGAGTTCTAAGGATTGAGATGTTTATATCATGTTTCGTGATCATGATCAAACTAATCACGCATTTTCATAATACCTAAAGAAAAGTTCTTTTGCATGAAAATAAGAATTCACGTTGTGATATCGACCAATTTCTTGAAGAAATTATATAGTGATGGAGACCACTTTCTTCTTTATACGATAAAAAACAAATTATTCAATTCTTTATTCTCTCAGAGCTTTAGAGTATACGTAAAGAAAAAATCTTTTGGTGAGAAAAAGATACATATATATAGTGGTGTCGACCTCTTTCCTGAGGATATTATTATTTGAGAAAGTGAAAAGGATGAGTTTATTAAATTAATTGGGAAAATTATATATAATAGCAAACTATTAATTCAAATTAAATGTTGTAAACATAGTTTGATTTAATTGTACCCCATAGCAAACTGTTGTTATTTCACCTCTCTCCCTGGTGAATCTCGCTCGCCACTCTCACTCCCCTCTCTCACTTTATACAAACACAAATGTATACATTGCGTTTGTGTTTGTATAAAGCGAGAGAAAATTGTATATACAAATACAAATGCATATATTTTCGTTCTATACACTTATGATTATACAAATATGATCTTCCCCAACCAAGTTTTCTTTTGTCTTTCTCTCTTCCTCGCTTTATACAAACACAGATTATATAATTGATTCTTTTGTATATGTATACCGAAATAGATTATTCAATTGCTTCTTTTGTACATATGTATAACAAAATAGTCATATATAGCAAACATAAAATTTGCTATGAAGCGCAATTATGCAAACTATAGCTATAACATACAAATATGATTTTTGTGTTTGTTATATGTGAAAGTTGCTCAACTAATAATGATGCTTTTAGTTGTAAATTGATAAGTTTTTGGTATATATTTAACTAGAGGAGATAATGATAATATCCTTGGGTTCTTTTTGCACCCTTAGGGTTGTTGGTAGTATAAATTAGAAAAAAATAATGCATACGCTTAGCTTTGTGTATTATCAATATCTTATTTTGTAGTGTATATTTTTAATTTATGTATAACAAATGCAGTGATTATACATTCTATTTGATATTATGTCATGTATAACTAATATATGTCAAATCATCGTATTGGCAATGTAAAGTTTTTAACGTATGCATTAACTGTTAAATATCGTACTGCAAAGTCAGTTTTTCCAACAAAATAACTTCAAACAAATTTCATACAAATAATGAAATATACAATATGAAGTTACATAAATTTTGGAAACAAAAAATCATATAATAACAAGATGAAAGGAAGAAGAGTCAAGTCCTCTGAATTCACATAGTTTCCTTAAGAAAATTATTCCCCTCAAGTACCCGATATTATGGAATATATCCTCCCAGGATAAAATGACTCACGAAAAACAAATAGTGATACCTCAAATTTGTTGTCCAGCGAACCACTCAATGGCATGTAATCACACTTGAAGTTTTTTTTGGAAAAGCAGAAACTTTTTTCTTACTATGTAGTGTTTTTCTTCTTGTAAACTTGTTTCAAAACTTATTTCAATATCTGAGAAAAAAATCAGATATTTATAGCCTATAGGTGAGCACAATGATTCATGCATGATATGTGAAAAGGTAACCTAGAAATACGAAAGGTTGCATTCATCTGTCATGAGTATTCATGAATGGAATAACTCCATTCATACTTGCAGCACTTTCACATTTTTTATTCACCAATCTTTATTCTATGTACCATTATCCATTCACACACATTATACAATGAACCCAACATTAACATGGTTAAAACAAAATCTTTTCCACACCTCCACTTTTATTTGTGGAGGATATTTTTGTAAAAAAATATTTATTTTTAGAAATTATGAAGTGCATGTTATTTTTAACATATCAAACAAAACAATGCATAAAAAATAATGTCAACTTATTAATATAGCATAACTAATACCAACATTACTAATGAAGCACAGTCAACACGATTATTTGACACACACCCTATCCTTGTATATTTTGCGATTTGACCCTTTACCCAGTCATTCATTTATCATTTATGAAATCATAAAATAGTTCATTTTGTGAGAGTAAAATAGGGATGATGTTTTTTTCAATTTCAAGTTCATTTTGTGATGGGAAAATTGGGATGATATATTAGAATTTCAATTTTTCGAGGAAGAAAACCAATACGTCAAAATACTAATTGCATAAAACAACATACAAATTAACACCCAAAAAGGAAGTCGACCAATACACTTATTACATATTGTGAAATTATTAACTACTAGCAATCCTGGTAACTTAGTTTAATTAATAATATTGGTGAATAAGACTATGGAGAAAAAACTCCTAACTAGCTAGAGCATGGAGTGGCAACAACTAGCAAAGGTGATTTCCTACGAGTAGTGATGCCAGTGCATTCAGTCATGTCCAAATATTCTTCTTTTGGTAACGCAAAATTGAACTTGTGCACAAGCCTTGCTAATGCTAGCTCAATTACCGCATTACCAAAACTACTTCCTGGGCAGCCCCTTCTGCCAGCTCCAAACGGAATCAACTCAAAGTTTAGTCCTTTTACATCAATATCACTATTTAATAATCTCTCAGGCCGAAACTCCTCTGGATTTTCCCATAATAAGGGTTCTCTTCCGATCGCCCAAACATTAATAATGGCTTGAGTTCTAACAGGTATGTGATAATAGCCTAATAATTTCACGTCTTCCATTGATTCTCGAGGAACTAATAGTGAATTCGGTGGATGAAGCCTAAGGCTTTCGTTGATAACAGCCCTCAGATACTCCATATTTTTTAGATCATCCTCTGTTACCTCTGATTTTCCTTGAGTTAATCCTCGCACTTCATTCTGTAATGTTTTCATGGCCCTTGGCTGCCTCAAAAGCTCTGCCATTGTCCAATCTAGAGCTGTATATATTGAATCCGTCCCAGCAGCAAACGAACCCTATGATAGAAAATAATAAACACGAAATAAAATTTAAAATAGATTGTTATGTTGGATTTAATAATGCATTGGAAATACGAGATTCTTACCAAGAGGATAGCTTTCAATGAATCCCTTTGAAGAGGAAAGCCAGTTTCCTTTCCATTTTGAATTTCTAGCAAAACATCTACGAAATCTTTAGCTTCAGCCGCGCTGTATTCTTTTTCCTTGTTCCTAATAATGTGTTCTTCGATCATACTCTCTAAAAATGTATCCAACTTTTTAGCTATTTTCTCCACTTTGGTGTTTAAACCATTGATTTTATTGACCCATTCAAGCCATGGAATATAATCCCCCACGTTAAAAGTACCCAAAAGTTGAAGAAATTCTGCTAGAATGGTCTTTGCATCTATTCCACTTTCCCTTTCATTATATATTCTCCCTAACGCCACTCTACTAATTATGTTATTAGTGAGCGAACATAAATGATCTCCCAAATTTATCACTGAACTCGAAGAATCACATCCTTGCCTAATTTTTCCAATCATATTAGCTGCTTCTTCTTCTCTGACATAACGAAAAGATTGGACTCTTTTGTTGTTAAGAAGGTGAAGCACGACAATACTTCTAACTTGCCTCCAATATTCACCAAATGGACAAAAGCCCACGTCCTTAGAGCCATAAAAAAGTCTATCGACTATGCTGGATTTAGGTCTGGTTGCCCATACAAGATCGTGAGTTTTCATGATATCACGAGCAGCATCGACAGAGGAAGCAACAATCACTGGCTTACTACCCAAGTGAAGTAGCATGACTGGACCATATTTTTTCGATAGTTTATGGAGAGAACGATGAGGATGCGACCCAAGTTGGTGCAAATTGCCTATGATTGGAAGCTTGCTTGGAGATGGTGGTAATAATATATTTTGGGTATTTGAAGTAGTATAGAAGCAGTGATGAATTATGAGGAAAATGAAGACAAACAGGGGAATTAGAAGAGAATACCAGGGACAGGGGAGATCCATTTTTTTGGTAGTTAGATAGTAAAATGAAATCAAATTAATAACACCTACAAGTTGATAAAATCATTGATTCCATTGCACCCAGATATATAGAGACGTAGTGAATACTTTTTGTTTAAAAAAATAATAAAAATGTATGTTTTGGTGGATTTTACTTTAACATGACAAGAGTTCAGATTACACACTACAAAAAAAAAAAGAGAAAAAAAAAAGAGGAGTAATTAGCTAGGAAATTTGTCAATGACCCGTAATTATCATAATTATCTGGTAATTCATTGCCAATCAATCGTTAAGCTGGTTTAGCGACAAACATATGTTATATTTAGGACAAGTTTTTGCCCAAAGCCATCCATTAAATCTGTGATTATGACAGTATTTTTGATATTATATAGGGAAAACGGTAAATATACTCCCTACTTTATTTTATTATTTTAACTTTATCCTCCGTTATATTACTTGATCAAATTTACACTTACGGTAATTGATCTTATCAAATATACCCTTCCATTAAATATTTCCCCTAATCTGGCCAAGATTTTCTAATTTCACCCCAAAATACCAATTTCAA